CATAAAATATCACCTCTTCTTTACACTGATAAAAAAACTTTCGTTCTCTCAGGGTAGTGAGTTGAAAGAAATTCGGGGATTTATGTGTACGTATTAATCAATTAAAACCTTCTTACTGATTAAAGAGTTAACAGCATCTTAGATTCATTTAATACATCCTCATCAGTGGTGTGACCCTTTGATCTTTTATTCTGTGGCTGATTCCACCTCTCTTAGTAACACCTGAAGAAGGAATGAGGCTCCGAAAGCTTGTGTTTTCAAATAAACCTGTTGGACTATAACCTGGTGTCGTGTGATTTCTGACCCAGTTCTAAAGGGTTATCCCTTCAACCTGAGGCTGTGCCCTCAGGTCCTAGTCTCTCCTACTAGTGGAAACATCTTTTACAAACCCATTCTATTCAGGCCTGTCAGTATTCTGTAAGTTTCAATGAGAACCCACACCCCTCCCCCTCACCTCCACTGTCCTCATTCTTCTAAACTACATCGAATACAGATCCAGAGTCCTCAACAGCTCCTCATGTGACAAGCAGGAAGAAGAGTGAATAGTGGATAGATGGGGTAGAGACCATGCTTTGAGATTCTTTGATGTTCCAAAGATGAAAAGGTGGAAAAGATGAAAAAAGGAGAGGTGCATTTCTCTCTCAGGGTGACAGCAGTCACCCTCTCATTCTGTGACTCTGCCATGCCTCTGCTTTTGTTGATCAGCTAAGAAGCACATACTTCTCAGCAGGTGTGGCAGCATCGGTGGAGAAAGAAACAACATTAAAATTGTGTGTCCAAAATGGCTTCTTCATGAACAAAATGATACCAGATTGAAATGTTAACTCTGTTTCTCTCTCTGCAGCTGCTGCCAGATCTTCTGGGTTTCTCCAGTATTGTCGGTATTTATTTCAGATTCCCAGCATCTGCAGCATTTTGATTTTATTATTAGCCCAGACTTTTGCTGCCCATGCCAAATTGGCACATTTCGTGGCCTGACCTTCAAACAGCAGAGCTGCCCTTATTCAGTGTTAAAGTGAGTGAATGCATCTGCACACTGCAAGTCACACTCACCACACTACCCAACTCTCACACCAATCATTTCACCACACTCCCATCACTCATCAATCACATCAATCAGCATCTCCTGAGACTCAAGAATCAACCCTAATATCCCAATGCATACAGATGCCTCACCCTTACACATCTTTTGGTCTTTCCAACTGTGGACATCACTCTACGCCTATCTGCCAGCTAAGAATGTTCAGCAATGGCAAGCACATCATTCAAGGACACTGATGGATAGTGTCCCCCTTCTTGCAGGAAAGTTACCCCACATCAGGAGGGAAATCCATTGAACAGAAGGAAGATTGAATCTCAATGCCACAGTTTTGCCAAGGTCATCAATATTTATGACAAATTTTCTTTCTTACACACTTTCTCTATTCTTCAGGGACAACAAAGTGTGCAGCTGGAGGAACACAGCAGACTAGGCAGCATCAGTGGAGCAGGAAAGTTGACGTTTCAGATTGGGACCCTTTTTCTGAAGGAGGGTCCTGACCCGAAACGCCAACTTTCCTGCTCCTCTGACACTGCCTGGCCTGCTGTGTTCCTCCAGCTCCACACTGTGTTATCTCTGACTCCAGCATCTGCAGTTCTTGCTATCTCCGAGTGATTTATTCTTCACTCTTCACCCTTTTTGTGATAGGTATAATCGAATAGAAACTGCAGTGGACCTTCTGCTTTCCATCTCATTCATCTTTCTCTCACAGCTATTGCCTCTTTATGCATTTGTGCTTTCAGATAGTCAGAGAGTTCTGGCTAGTCAGATACTGCAGCCTTCTGAGGAAGTGAAATAGCAACAATAGATCTCTCAGAATGAACCAGTCACCTGACCTACAATGCAGCCTGCATCTCAGATTTTGCACTTCACATGCCCTTAGAGTGTAATTGCTGGATACTGCTACAGACAACTTAGATGAAGGCACAACTGAGGTGAATGACAAGGATATTTTGAGGATGATGCATACCAAAGTAATTAGTGTGTTGGTAGGCTTGCCAGTCAACTTGTACTCACTGGGCAGGGCCATGGAGGAATCTGACTTCGTCATAGTACAGGGCTGAGTTTTCAGCCCATATATTCTATTGTGTAAATACTAAGAAACTCAATCGTAACACTTCCTGACCTATCCATGCTGGAATGCCTGCTGGCTACTGTCTCAGCTTTAATCGCAGCACAGGTGAAGGTCTTATGATGTCTCTGTGCAGTAGAGATCAACAGATCCCAGCTGCTGCCATTCAGATTCAGATTCATAGTGCTGATGGCAGCAAACTAAGTGCTCAACAGGGTATGCAAGCTCCCATCAAGTTTGATATTTCATGTTCCAGAAGATAATAGGTATTTTAGAAGCAGACTATAATCAATATGGATTCAAAATGAAACCAAACATTTTCATAGTGAAAGTAAAACCCAGTTGTAGATTCTAACTTTTTTAATCAACAACACTAGACATATTAATACGATAAATTATGCTTACCTTGTTTTATCACATTTTACAAGAATAGCAATTTTAAAAAGAAACAAATTTGTATTCTCTTAGGGCTGTTCAACATAACAATGCCATTAAAGATACAGAAGAACTGATCCATATAGAATAAATCTGTATTTACATTTCTGCATAAAACAACTACTGTTATTAATCTTTGTTATGGAAGTATAGCTTTTCATCAAAAAAAGATTAAAATAAATTGTTTTGTGAATTTTAATGTTCAGCCATCATATACAGATATAATGTTAATTGAATCACTAATGAAAAATCCAGTTGTGTTAATAGATCTTAACCAATAAATTTACATACATTAGGAAGGTTTGTAATGTCATGAATAAAGTGAGATTTCTAAATTTAATTAACAAAATTTGTACTTTAAGTGTACTACAGAGAAATGTTCTGTGAAAATTCAAAATTACATGCCCATTCTTCTTATTTTGTACACAGATTACCAATATTTTGTTCTTCATTCATTTCACAATGAAAATTTTTGCTTTTCTATTGGATTGAACAGGTTCACAGAAACAATATGGACCCTTTAATGAATGGCTGGTTTTGTTTCTTTGTCAGAACATTGCAAAGATTTCAAACAGTGCTTCCCAAACCTTTTTTCATTGTATCCTTATTTTGACATCGGAAAATTGCCTGACCTCTAAGTGAGAACTATGATACAAGGAAGGAGACCCGCATGGGGTGGGGTGGGAATTGGGAGTGGAAGGTGTGATGGGGAGTGTGCCTACTACAGTGAGAGCCTGTCTGGCAGAATGAAAGCAGAGCTGTTATAACAGTTAGACCTTCACAGTTGGCCATTGCTGCCATAGAATGTGCTACCCAGAATTTCAAATGTCCTGACCCACAGTTTGGGAAGCCCTGATTTAAAATACACAGTGAAAGTGTACTATAAATTATGTATGCTATGCAAAATAAACAGCCTCTTTAATATTGCAATTTTAATTAGAATTACTGGGAATCTTCATCTTGTAGTAAAAAGCATGGGTATCGCTGAAAAAAGACATTTTGTCGAACTTCTTTATCTTGCTCTCATCAGAATATCACAAGAATACAAAATAACATTCTATACTGTATGACTGACAGTCAATTACCAAGCTTTATTTACATTAAAACAAGCAGTTTAAATTATTCAAGGCAGTGCCCTGAAGAATGAAACAAATTGTCTGTTCCCTATTTTGTTAGGTTAAAACAGATATAATGTGTGTACATGTTCTTTCTATATTCAAAACACAGAACCCTTTAGATGAACATGTATAGTTTCCAGTACACACAACAGTACCATACTATGAACCTAAATGACAATCAGAAACCGGTTGTCAGTATAATTCCTAGCATATTCAGGGCTATTTAGCAAATGTTGTCCAAACATGAAATTACATAAAATGTCGAACTCGAGGTTTTGAGTTTTGCAAGCTTGGGCTTTTGGTGTATGATAAATACCTTGCCTGTTGTGAACAGCCGAAATTGTAATCCCCCTGTCCTTGGGACACATGCATTGGCATCACATCAGCACTGAAACTTGTATGCCACATTATTCGTGTATGATAAGCAGAACATCTTTTTACATCATGGCAGTATCCTGTTAGTGGCATACCGCTCTTATTGCAACAATACAGTAGCAACTTGTTACAGCTAACTTCACCTGTTGACAAAATGTGCTTTTTTCAGAAATAGAACTATGGTATTATCATTACTATATTACATTTTACCAACAATGAGAAAATCATTCATTCTCATTGATTCTCATTGGATATTTTAACACATTAGATCCTAAACACTCCCTGCTTGACCAGTGTTACTAACCTTGCAACAGTAAGTAAAATCAAATCTGTTAACTTGCTAACTGTTCTTAAATTAACTCAGAGTAGATTTAGAAAGGGATCTAAAGTGGTAAATATATTAATTTTACATAATCATTCACTCTATGGAAATATATATCATCTTATATGCCTCCCAGATAAAGCTTTTGCAGTTTGCATAATACATAAAATACAGAGGTTATGAAAAGCATCTAAAATATGTTATTGAATAGTACATAATGCCAACACTAACTTAACACTTCTGAATAGCTGTCTAAATATAACCTTATAAAGCAATATAAATAAGTAGATAACTACATATTTAAAATGTAAAATCACAAATACTAACTTTCAAATTACAGCTATAAAATCTAGATGAGATATTTGACCAATATGCTACAAGAAGTAAACTGCAGCTTTTTTATATCAAGTGCACACCTGATACACTAATATTTTCACATGTAAAATCTTAAAATACTTATTAGTACCTAATAGCATATTAGTGCATCCAACACTGTTCATAAGTTATTATTTGCTGGTTTTAATGGTAAATTGTTAGATTACAAGACCAGTAAATTTGGAATTGAATTTGATTGAATAATTAAATATGACACTATTTTTTCATTGAGCAGGTTAAACATGAAATGATTAATAAAATAGATCAAAGACATGTTTCCCTGTCGATACCCTTCCCTGAGTCGACATTCTTCTCTTTCCTTCGTTCAAGATTAGCATATGAACTGAAAAAAAGACAGAAAAGTATTGAAGTTGCTAAGGTTTAGATATGCTGAAACCAAAATGCAACTGAATATAACAGTGAGTAACAACAAGTAGGATGTTCCATGCGACTGTTTAGGAAACTGTGCAATTCAAATGAAATCTTATATTAGCAAGTCATATTTCATCCAAATAGTGTTTAAGCAAACAGTTCAATCTGCCTTATGCAAACCGTAAAATGAAAAAAACTAAAACCTTTTACACTTCAACTGTGCACACGGAACACAATCAAATTATACTTTGGGTAACCTCATTAAAGATCCACTTTGTTTTTTCATATTTCATCAGAATGTTTGAACATTTTTTTTCTTTATATTTGCTTCCGTATCGTCTGCACAGCTAGTTTAAATTAATATGAATAGAGAGAGTGATAAGAAACTGTGCAAGGTAACACAGGCATGAATGACAAAAAGGTCAAAGGGAAGATAGACTTACCTTTGGGGAACTAGCTTCTATAGAGGTAAGGAAGGGGAGCTTATGACAGAAATGGAATGAAACAGTAGGTTAAGAGAGATGTTAATCCTGTCTCAGACATTCAGCACAACCATATTCACATCACCATTTCATCTATACATATTTAACAAGATATGGTACTGACAGTATTTTTCCCCCAATTTCCACTCTTTCTGAAATGAAGCCAAATTTAATGGAGGAATTAAACATATCTCAAAAGCAAAATATTGCAGATGTTAGAAAACTAGAATTTAAAACAGCTAAAAGGTTGGAAATATTCAGCATGTCCGATAGCACCTGTGGTGCGAGAAATAATTGTCAAGCTCCTATGTTAAAGGCCAACTGTCTGAGACCAGTGGGGGTGAGGAGAGTGCTTTAGGCAGATTCTGACAAAGCCAGCACCAGCTGATCTGGCTAAAGGTAGTCTCAACACCAAAGATAAAAGCAGTAAGACTGCTGGATGAGACACACTGATCTGACTTACTTTGTATACTTCAAAATAGAGGATCAGTACAACTAATATGTTAATTTCCATGTATTACTGGTTCCACGCTAGCTTCCCACTGAGAAGCTACGCTTTGCTGCTCTGGTGACTGTGGCCATTTTTATTCTACATTCTGTAAAGTTATTGAGAGGATACCTCAACAGAGGCCTGCTCACTCTCTGTATACCCAATAATGGTAGACCACAGCTCTTTTTGTGTTGAAAGGTCTCTGATTAGCCTCTCAAATTTAAGTTCCATTCACCATCCTGAATGGTGAGTGCAATCTAGCCACTGATTGGCAACCAAGGGAAACCTACTGCCAGATGACTGTTGTGAACAATAAAGAATTAGGAAGCCCATCTCACCCAACTTTAGGGTCCAACCCAAAGCATAACCCATTTCTCTCTCCACAGACCCAGCCAGTCCTGCTGCTTATTTCCAAATCATTATAGATTTTATGGTGAACAGACTACCATGGAGGGTGGGACAGACCCCATATCCCAACCACAGAAGAAAAGTCACCCAAAACCTAATCGACTAGAAAGAAACATGCTCCACAGGCAAAATGAGTTGCAGATGGGCTAAACTAGTTTAAAGTGGAACTTCTGTTCCTCAGTGAGAGAAGGGCCCATCCTCAAGAGCTGGCAACCAATCAGACTGACCAGCTGCACTAACAGCCCCAGCAATGCCACAGCTCAATAGTGGATGCTGTAACTTCAAAGAGGAGCAGGGGAAGAACAATGGCTGCTGGAAGAAGTCCCAGGTTTTTTCAGTGGTGAAGAAATGAAGAAGCTACGGAGGGAGCAGAACATGTGCAGGAGTACAGAGTCGATGGGGAAGGGGATGTGGTGAGGGTACCTCAGTGTGTACAAGGCACCTGTGTCCCACATCCTTCCCCTTCTGATTCAACCTGATCTCAAAAGCCATTCTACTCACTCTCACCCACTTGCCCATGCCTGTCCTTACTATGGTGAAGGCAACATATTATTCCAGTCAACTGACTTGGAAACAAGCTCAGCTGACCTTTGATTATTGACTGAAATAAGGCTTCCAATTATAGTGCCTACCTATCTGCTATATTCTGGGGAAGATGGGTAAAAAGCTGCTGGGCTGGAAACCATATTTTATGTGCCCTTCATCTATTAAAATTCCTCATATTTTGCTATTTCCAAACCTGCCACTACAAGAAACCAGGCTTTTGTATATAAGTACGTCAATATCAATTATACATAACAAACAATTTCTGGATTATAAAATCCAGTTGTAAAGCCTAGGTTATAAATTATCCATCTGCTGTAACAGTGACTGTTAAATTATGTATTTAACCATTTATTCTGTGTGAAATGAAAATACCACAAAATAACAATCAAAATGATGGTTAATAATTTATCTAACAAGAAGCAATAGAGTCACAAGTGTATTGTTAGCATTTGATACCAAGCCATAAAAATACGAATCTAAGGATAAGAGAAAACGGGGCAGGATTAATCTATTCAGGCCTCCCTTCTGACCTCTGACCCACTATTCAATGATCCTGGAGAAGAGAAATCCAAAGATATGCAACCCCTTCTGTGAAGAAATTTCTCATTGCAATCTTAAACAGCCACCCTTGTACTTTGATACTGTAACTTGTAGTTCTAGACTTCCCCAAACATGGGAAACATCCTTCTAGCATCTCTCCTATTCTAACCTCTTATTCTTCTAAATTGCAAGGAATATAGGACCTGGGCTCAGATTTTCGCCGTTACAGAAAACCTGTCTATCATGGCAGAAGTGAATAAAATTTGGAAGTAAATTTCCCCGAATACAAGCTATCCATTTTTGTGGGTGTGGAGTGGAATCAGGTCAGCATTTGCACACGTCTATTTTACGAAGGCTGCTGGAATCAATATTCAAATCAATACTTCCCTTCATAAAGTGAGATTATGAAATCTCTGCACCATGGAACTGGGAGTATGCATACAGGACCTGCTAAAAGCAAGTCTGAACTTTGTGGATTCATTTGGATGGCCTGGTTTCCTCTTTGGAGAATTAAGATACCCCTTATCCCTGGAACAGCTTTGGGGAAAAATGGTCAAGTACCTCAGGGGTTTGTGCAGTCAGGTATTCTATGGAATTTTTAAATGTAAGTCATAATTTACTTTAAGATGCATAAATTTATTAGAACTGTCATAGATTTGTCAAATCTGGCAAATAACTTCCAAAACTGTTAAATAATTGCCAAGACTGTCAAAGAACTGTCAAAATTATCAGTGACATTTCAAGTTTATACGAAAGCTGTTAATTATGTCAAAAAGCAGTCGAACTGCCAGATATCTGTCAAAGTTGTCAAGTGTTTAACTCTCCCTTGCTTTAAATTTAAAAGAAAGTCTGGTGTTCTGTTTATAAAGAACAAAGTTCTTGTTATTTTTCTCTATCTTTTTACAGATGTCTGCATTACCTTCATACCATTTGTACTGCATGCCTGATTATACTAAATTAAAAGATAATAGTGAGCTGCCTGTTAAATGAAAAAGCTGAATGACAGCTTAAGGTGGTTGCAGAATACAAATGCTTGCTTTCATAAGAGTTCACTGAAGAAATTTGAATGCATTTCTTTTAAATCAATGACTTTTTTATATAGTAATGTCATCAATTGATACAACCAAATTTTGTGTCAGCACAGTTCCTATGTTTACCCATGATGGATACCAGATGAGTATGGAGGATGAAGGGCATGTGTTAGCATGTTAATACTAAATTGGTACATGAGCTATAAAGGACACTGGGGACGAGTGGGGATATGGTTTGGCATAGGGCGACGTGGAAATGTGGTGGTTGGGTATAGGAGCAGAAGTTGGCAGGGTTGTTGTGAGCAAAACATGGGCTGGCATGAATGAGCATCGGGATGGGTATAATTTTGGGTGATATGGGGAGTGTTTGTGTGGGAGAGAAGGGAATGAGGGCTGCTTTGGATTTCAATAGCTTTTTAAATTAATTTTCCACATCTTGCCAAAGCATGAAGGCAAGCCTTGCACCCAGCCCAGCTCTACACCCACAACCTCTGCCCTTATTACAGAGTCACCCAGCCCATTTCCCAAGGCCCCTCACCATGGGCACTCCGTGCATGCAATCAGCATGCCGACATGGATCACAGCTTTGACCTCAGTTCTGGAGATCGCTGCCATGCATGGACCTTGGATGTCCGTGCAGAAGGAAAAAGGTTTTCTCTGGTCAAGTTTGCAGAGTTCTAGAGGTCCTACTCTATTCAATCTTCCCTCATGGGTTAATCACCTTTGATGCCCTCCGTCTAAAGCTGGTGTATCTTTCCTTGGGGGAAGTAACCTACTCTGTACATAGCACTCCTGAAGTGCTATTTTCAAGGTCACATACAATTAAGTAAGAGTTCTTTTCTCTTCAATTGCTTTGCATGAAAGGCCAACATGCCATTTGTTTTCCTAACTACTCAGTACATCTGCATGTTAATTTTCTGTGATTCATGTACAAGGGTTCCTCTGAATGCAAATGTTTCTCAGTTTCTCATGTTTTATTGAATGTTCTGCGTTTTGTTTCTCCTCAAAAAGCAGATAACATCACAATTCCAAAACTACTCTATCTGCCACATTTTTGCCTATTCACTTCATCTTCTAATTCCCTTTGTGGCTGCTTTGCATCCTTTTCAAAGCCTATTTTCTAACTGCACTCAATCTGTTCATCTTAAATATTGATACCTATAAATAACTGGAGCTCAAGCACTGACCACCAGTTAGAAACTTACAACCTGAAAATGATCTGTTTATTTGAACTCCTTGACCAGACCATCTCCTTAAATAATGAAATACGTTTAAGCAGTGTTTGCATCAAAAGGCAAAATATATTGATTTATCATTGTTTCACTAATTTTCATGGTGGTTATTTGACTTACCTTTTTCATTTGCGTTATAAAATAGCTACTGAAATACTCAAGCTTAGAATAATGGTAATGTGAATAACATCTCAGATACCCATTTGTTGCACTTTCAAATGTCTCTTGAAGTCTTATTTTTT